AGGTGGGGAAAACCGGGAAGCTTTCAGATTCGGGTTTTCGCAGATGTGTCAATAAATCTCTCTTCATAAATTGGAACTTTGAGCAATACTTTGCCTCAGACTCTGATTTAATTTTGGATGATATTTGGAACTCTGACACACAGGGTACAAATAAGCAATCAGGAAGCAATCAATATCAATATAAATCGTAAGGATACAAGCAACAAAGTTAACCATCCTGCAGTCATAAGTGGGAGGAGATGGGTGATAGGAACGATGAGATGATTAATAGTAATAGTAATGCAGACTTAGTAAATAGTTTGACAGTGTTGTGGGAATTAGTTGTTAAGCAGAGGGATGGCGTTCAGGGAAAAACTGTCCTTGTGTCTAGTTGTCTTGGTGTGCAGTTTCTCTATAGTGTCGTTTTGAGGGTAGGAGTTGAAACAATTGATGTCCAGGATGTGAGGGGTCTGTAGGTATTTTCACAGCCCTCTTTTTGACTCATGCAGTGTGCAGGTCCTCAATGGAAGGCACGTTGGTAGCCATTGTTTCTTTCTGCAGTTCTGATTCTCCTCTGAAGTCTCTGTCTGTCTTGTTGGGTTGCAGAGCCAAACCAGACAGTTATGTAGTCTATATTGGAGGCGGCCCCCCTTTTTAGAGCTGTATGCTTACAAAATTTCGTTTTAATGTATGCCAATTAGTGTACATTCAAAGTGACAAATTAAGTGTGAACAAAAATACAGAAGTACAGAACAATGAAATAAGCAAGGAGAAAAGGAAAACTGTGAGAACCTATCTGATACGATAACACAAGACAGGCTGAGAAGAAGAGTTTTGCTGTGGTTCATACCCCAAATGGCTTTCCTGGGTAAAAACAAACTCGATTTCATTCTAAGCAGCTTATGTGTGTGTTTTTCCCCCTCTTTCCCAGACCCCTAAAACCTGCGAAAACTTCATTAAACTCTGCAAGAAGAACTACTACGACGGGACCATATTTCACCGATCGATTCGTAATTTCATGGTGAGTATCAAAACCAAGAGGCCAAAGGTGAACAGAGTTGGAAGGGACCTCGTAGGTCATCTAGCCCAACCCCTTCCCCCTCTCGCCCAAGCAGAAGATCCTACCCCATTTCTGACAGATGGCAGTCCGGTCTCTTCTTGAAAGGCTCCAGGGATGAAGCTCCCACAACTTCTTTGATTGATTACGGCTGGGCCCCAGTTAAAGGAGGAGGAAATAAAAAAAATGATGGTTTTCATTTCTCCAGTGGGCTGATAAAAAATAACACCTTACTATTCTTGACAAATGTATTTTATTTTCCTTATGTAGACTGAGAGCAAATTCCTTGTGTGTCCAATTACACTTGGCCGATAAAGAATTCTATTCTATTCTATTCTAGATCCTTATTCTATTCTAGATCCTTATTCTATTCTATTTTTTCATATTTTTATTCTATTCAATTCATCTTCTGTTCTATTCATCTTCTGTTCCATTCTGTTGTGTTGTGTTGTGTTCTCTTCTCTTCTTTCATTTCCTATTCTATTCTATTCCATTCCTTTCTTTCCTTTCCTATTCTATTCTATTCTCCTTCCTTCTCTATTCTGCTCTATTCTATATTCTATTCTATTCTCCTTCGCTCTCTATTCTATTCCATTCCATTCATTTTCTATTCTATTCTAACATCTTGAATGATCTCAGCAAAAAATAGAATAGAATAAGGATATAGAATAGAATAGAATAGAATAGAATAGAATAGAATAGAATAGAATAGAATTCTTTATCGTCCAAGTGTAATTGGACACACAAGGACCTGGGTACTTGAGAGACCGCCTGCTGCCAATTACCTCCGATAGACCCGTTAGATCTCACAGGGTCGGCCTCCTCCGG